GGGGCGGGGGCCACGCTCGGCCGCTCCGCCACAAAGGGCCAGCGCACAAAGAGCGTCTCAGGTGCGCTGCCCGCGCGGACCCAGGTCGCTAATACATCCATCACAGCCTCCCTCCCGCCGGCCACTGTGCGCGCGACACCTGCCCTCCCTCGCCCCCGCCAGCGCCCAACGGCCAGCACAACGCATTGTCCGTCAGCCCTTCGGTCTGCTTTGTGTGCCGGCAGGGAGATGGCGGGCCCGGAGATCACGGGGTGGAGATGGTGGCGGCGGAGATGGCGGTGCTGGAGACGGTGGCGCTGGGGATGGCGGTGGTGGTGGCAGTAATGGTGATGGCGGAGCGGCATTGTGTCGGTCACCATTCGGCGTGTGGCATGGGAACGGATGTTGCAATGAATTGGTATATTTTATATTGACATTAACATGAACATACTGTTTTAGAATCGTGTCAATAGGGCCCTTTACACGGGGGTTCTTAGCCGCGCGTGACCGGGACGTTCCTGACCACGAGCTAGAGCGCTCGCAAACGCGCGGGCAGGACCGCGGTGCGCAGAAGTGCGTTCTTATTTCTGCCACGCTTCTGCGCGCCACTCAAGAACGTTTCGAGTAAAGTCGTCCGTGTAAAGATCTCAGCAGCGTTTTAGAGCGCGCTTTTGTGCGGCGCGTGGAATTTCTGGGATCCGACGGTCCTTACGTGCGTTCCACGCTTGCTGCTGCTGCTGCTGCTACTGTATTGGAGCAGTTATAGATGTTCTGATCGTGTTGCCTGTTATCCTGTGGTGTTTATATAGTGTATAGTGAATCAGATTACTATTTTTTCGAATAGCTAAGTCATAAATGTTGTCCATTGAGAATTATCGTAAAAAGAAAATTGTAGCAGTGCTTGGAATAAATGTCACAAAACTATACCAAGAGGAAATGGACAACTACCGATGAGAGCCGCCTTCCGCAAACGCTTCGACAGTTCTTATTATATTCCTCGTGTCTGCCATTGAGGAAGCAACGTCCCCGATAGAAGAGTGAATCAAGACGTGCGTGCGGGCGGAGCAAAGGGAAGCGAGGGCGGCGGGGACGGCGGAGGCGCGTTGAGGGGCGCGCATTCGCGACGGGGCGTCCGCGTCCCCGCGGCGCACGACTCTGCCCCCCCCCCTGCACTCCCCCTCGTTTGAAAAGGCACACCCCGCGGGCCCTCTGAGCGAAGGATTATGGGCTCCTTTGCGCCTGCAGCGGAAACCCCTGGGCGAACGCCGTGCCAAGGCCTCCGGACCATTTCATTTCGCCTTTGTGGCATCGGCAGGCGCTCAAATTGAGAAATTATGTCCGCACCGCGCCGCGCAGGTAAAAAGAGCTCGCGGACTTGGCTGCTTCGCTTGCATTACGAGGTTTTGTTCTGTTGTTGTTGCTTCAAAGGAAACCCCTTTTTCAAAAGAAATCGCCTAAGGTCTGGTAGTATTGGAAAGAACGTGTCTGACAAGTTTAATTACGCCAGCTGAGAATGTTAAAGAATATCAACTTATTTCTTCCTATGGCGCTAAACAAACCGGTAGAGCACCTTGGCACCCGTCCAAAGCGAGGTGACGTTAGTGGTTTTGACCATGTGTGTCGGCCTCCAGTATGCCCACGCCCGACTCAGGGATATATGCCAATATCCGGCGCAGATGTTTCGTGCTGCACTTTAACGCGTGCTGACTCAATTGTCGAGTGACCTACAGCATCAGTTAATAAGTTAAACGAGTTTGTGAGCAACCCAAGATCTCTTTCGAGAGACCAGTTTCCGTACAAGGGGTTGCGTTAAAAATATCGAGCAGATATTTTGAATGTATAATTAGCGTTAGGTCCATTTCTTAACGTGACCTCTAGGTGTATCGATTAAGGTGCGGGCTTCCGACGCGGGGATTGGGTGTGGAGCATGCAGATGGTTCGCGTTGCGTTGCAGGAGGCGTTGCTAGGTTCCTCGCCCGAAGCAAAATTATAATAGTAAGCTGCACAGGTAATTGATCACATGGAGCTGTCTCCTCTCCACGCGGCTTATTACGAAGTCATCCCGACTCCTATCTTTAATCACGTTCATTTATAACTAGCTACGCATTCGTTGAATATTCAGATACGTACTGCGGGTTAGAACACGAACAGTTAGAGATAAGAAAACCGATTTGAGTCGTCGCTTTCCACTTCTTCAGACTTCTTTTTGCTCCTCCGAAGCGGTTTGACAAATATAAAATTGCGGCATCAATTACCAAAACGCCTCACCTCCAATTTTCTAGTTTCTCGAGGCGTGAACTTCCAACTCGGAAAAGAAAAAAAAAAGAGCACGCTATACTTTATTCGTTGCCAAGGTGTTTATTACAGTTCAATCCATTGCAACATGGTTTGGCTTGAATAAGAAGGATCGTAGAGAAAAAAGTCTGACTAACTTCCTTATAAAGACCTCAACTCCCACTTGTGTGTGCCGACGAAAAACGAAAGCATTCAACCTGGTCGTCGAAATAAACGTCCGGACGATAACGGCCATGTTCACCCAATAAAGCAATAAAATCAGAAGCTGAAAACATCCACAGTGGAGGCCGGGGGCCTCCGTTCGGGCGTTCAACATATTCGGCGTTCCATCGCATCGGCGCGCGGCGGCACCAGCCCTTCCACTGGGCTCCCTCGTACTCACAGGGTGATCACAAAGTTCGTGAATGGAAAAAAATACGGTTGGTAAATATTCACAGAATATAATTTGTCAATCTATACAGACTACCGATATGTTTCTTTTAAAATGGTTGTTAGTACAGGTGGCTAAAGTTACATTACCGGCAGTTATTGGTGACTGCGATTACAATCTATTCGACTTTTCTAGTTTGTTTTAAATTTGATTAACACGAAAAATCCTGATTTTCATGCGTCAACATTATAATTTGTTTTGGGGTATTCTAATGTTTGTTATGAAGATTAACTCTAATACAAAATATTATAAGGTCATATTATCATATATTAAAATTATTTCCTGCCTTTTTAATATAAATTCAATTGTTCGTGGCCATTCAGAAAGTTTAACGGTTGAAAATTCATTTCAAGCTAAATTTAAATGAATGACGGAGTCAATCCATTTTGATACATTGCTTTAGTTAATGTTGTACTCACAACAAACACTGTGTGCATTCAACACTATGTCGACAAAACGCTATCTCCGCAGGGAACTATAAAAACACTTCCAAAAATTTTTTTGGACAATTTTAGGTGGTGTATTTAAGGAAGCAAATAATACCTGTATTCAGTTTTTAAACGATACGTTAAGAAAAAACAAGAAAAATTCTTTACATTTGATATCAACTACTTAAAATAATAATATACTGATAGAATATATTTTAAAAAAGGTAGTTCTGTCGTTGCGAATGAGTGGAAATGTTTTTTTTTCCTTATGTTTCAACGCATCCACAGAGAGCCCCCGTTTATTGTAGAGTGTTTTTTACGCCGCCGTCGGACTTTTTAGTCAGCGTGTTGGGGGCGGCGGCGTGATGGGGGCTAAGCGGCTGCGGTTTGTCACCTGCTCCGTTGCTCCGCCGCCGCGTTTCGCCCTGCGCGCGTAATCCGTAGCGACGGCTCGGGGCGCCCGCCCCGCCCCGCCGCACAGGCC